GTCCACGCGTGAAGTCAGCATTCACGCAAGACTGAATGTTCTCCAGCCAGGAAGTCAACTCTTAAATAGCGTGGATGCGGGGTCTGGACCCCGGGTACTGAGGTCCTGCACCGTCCAGATCTCGATATGAATGAGGGCCCAGATCGGCCAGAAACTGTATTTCTCCCGCCCTGAATGCTGTCTGGGTACCTGCACACAACAAGTGAATGTATCCGTCCATAGGCCTGGGTACGGTACCTTTGACTCTACAGTTTTCTTTGACTGTTGAATTTCCCTTGTGCTGCGTTTGGTCACACAGCCTCCTCGACAGACTCAGGCTGGGCATGTCTCGGTCACATAGCCCAGCACAGACAACTGAGTCTGTGTCTTACCGGGGGCAAAGTTCTGAGCCCCGGTCTGCTGTTGAACAGGGTTACTGCACACTGAGTTCGGCACATGGCTCAAAGGTGGTGCCCCTCTCCTCAGATGATAAAAGAGGAAAATGCCAAAGCCACAAAATTGTCACGATCCTGGCCAACTTCGAAGTGCAAAATTCACAAGAAAGCACAATGCCATCCAATTGCAAAAGAAATGAATGAAGTTCAGAGGAGAGAGAGGGAACGAAGAAGAAGAAGAAGATGTACACCAGCAAAAGACCAATGATAATTCCCCCTCCTTCTCGCCAACCAAACTCCTTTCTCCTCCCCTCTTATCCAAACAATAAATAGCAATAGTAATGATAACTGGCAGCACAAGAATCAATGTCCGAATCCCGCTTCTACTGCTTGGCATCAACTGCGGTCCACCATAGCCATGGCCTCCTTCTTCCTCCTCTTCAACCAGGCCGAGGCTATGGCTGACTACTAAGGGCCAAGCCCTGTTGTGCAAAAGACAACGCGAAGCAGCTAGGTCCGCTGCTGTTCAGGCTGCCTTTCTTGACCCTGCCTTGAAGCCTTCTTGGTGCGTCGCAACCCCCACTGGGGCCTTCCAGATGCAGCGCCTAACAAGGTGATGAAGATGGCGTCCACCATAGCCAGGTAAGTGCCTCACAGCTCTCCTCCCTAGTCCCCTTCTTCCTCCTCCTCCTATCGGTAAAGCTCCACCATAGCCGAGGTGGAAGCTCGCGGCCTTCTTCCTCCTCCCAGCGCCGCTCCTACCAACGCTCTTCTTCCAGCAGCACCCAGAATGCCGGCGCTTGCTCAAGCAGCATGTCGCCCAAACTTGCATACCTGCCTCTCTTGGGCGGTGGTTTCCAGGCCACACGCCCTCCAAGCAACCGGTGCCGCCTCCCTTTCGGAGGGAAATATCATGGCAGGCTCTGGTATCGTCCAGACAGGCTCCAGACTCAGGCTACTTGGACTGGTGCCCGCCTAGACCTGGCCTGCCAACTACTGGGCCTCTAAAAAAGTGCCAACTTTTGTCTTCTTCTGCTCGGCCTCCAGTTCCCAACACATCTACCGCCACTTGAGTGGTATTGGCCTACCTACTACTTGCGGGCCTATTCCCGCCACTTCGAGTGTTTTCCCCGCTGCTCTTAAGTGTCGAGGGCCTACTCCCGTCACTTGAGTGCTTTCCCCACTGCAACCCTCAAAGTCACGGCCACAGGTAAGTACGGGCCCTGTGGGGCCTCCAAACAAACAAGTGCCCTTGCGTGTCACACACACACTCAGGCCAGCAAGCACTCGGTCAAGCACTCAGACCAGCAAGCACGCACACACACAGACTTAGAAAACTCAGCAGAACACGGGAATCTCAGCAAGGCATTCATTCCAGCGGTACAATTCAGAAATCAGCAGTGTTCTCAGTCAGTGATTTGAAGGGTCATTACAAAATGTACAATGAAGTTGAATGAACAGAAAAGCTAGGTTGTTTTCCCAGGTACCCGGGCAGCCCCTGTGCAAACAAAAAGAAAAATAAAAAACTTCCGGGAAAAAAAAAGGTTGTGAAGCAGAGTTGCACAGGCCCACAGTCGGTGCCCCTTGATTGGTCAGCACCTACCGATCGGTGGTCGTCGGCAACCCGCAAAAAAAAAAAAAAAAGAGAGAAAAAAGGGAGTCTATTACCCCCAATAACCCCACCAACAGCCCCATACCCCGCCCGGAACACCCCCCCCCCGACACCTCTGAACCACCCCCCAACACCCTCATGTCTCCCCCAATACCCCCTATACCACCCCTATACCTCCCCTATATCCTGCCCATAAACCATCTGTACCCCCCCCAATCCCCAAAAGTTCTCAGCAGATTTGGGCTATACTCAGTAAGCGCTGTAAAGCCCCATAGTCAAATGAAAAAAAAAGTGGATGGCTATTTACTGGCAGGTCGGCAGACCACTGACCGGTCAGCTCTACATGTACGCTGCAAAACGGCCGGTAGTCCGGTCGGCGGTCAGCAGGTATGAAACCCTGTTGTGTAGATTTGCAATGCAAACGACTTTTATCTGAGGGTCGCCTGATGACATCTGAAATCCTCACTGAATCAAAGATACAAACGTAGAAGGACAGTGGATACTTCAAAACGTAGGGAGCCGGACCTTAGGGTCATGTCTTGGAACATCAATGGGATGGTACAGATTTTGGAATACAAAGACAAGTGGGACAACGTAATGAGGTGCTCAAACTGGTTTGGGAAGACACCTCCAGAATTCTTATGCTTGCAGGAAACTCACCTTACGGATTCATCAGAGCATCAGAGCATCAGAACATTCAACAGCGTATAGTAAGACAACTAAGGTGGGTTAAGGCAAGTTTTTGGGCGGTAGCTGGCAGGTCACATTCAGCAGGCGTAGTAATTTTACTGAATAAAAGATCGCTGGCTGCAGATAGAATAATAGTACAGGATGTCATTCTAGATGAAGACGAAGGTCCGTGGATAAAGGTCGATTTTACCTATCAGAATGAGCAGTTCACGCTCATTACAGTCTATTGTCCTACCGGAGGGCATCAGCGGTCGGAGATAATAGATACACTACAAAACCACATAGACCCGTCAAGACATCTCATATTGGCTGGGGATTGGATGCTACTTTTGGATCCTAGTAGGGACAGACTACTAGGCGGAAGGTCAGGGTTAGGGGAAGGAGTGATGTGGGACGAAGCCCTACCTATTAATAACCTTATGGCGGCTAGAGATCTGGTAGACCCATTTAGACTTCAACAGCCAAAAGGGAAACAGTTCACGTATCACAAAAGGAATCGTAGTCAACATATTTTAGCATCAAGGATAGACTACTTTCTCATATCGCAAGACACCATGGGAACATTACACTCGGTGGGAGTAGGGGACTTACCATACTGTTCGTGCCTAGATCATAAACCCATATTTCTTAACTTCATTATGGACAAGCATGTCCACAGAGGAAGGAGTTTCTATAAGGTTAGTAATTCGTTCTTAAAAACCAACGAGTTGAGCGAAGCCATTCTGCAAGTGTGCCTAACACACAATCCCGACACACAATCATTCACGGACCTTATAGAAGCCCTGTCAGCAGCAACGGCAGCAGTAGCCAGACAGCTGGCAGCAAGACGGGGCAGCAAGGGAAATCGAACTGCAAAGGGCATTGCGTATAGCAGAAAGGAATCTAGTTAATAACCCAGGTTCGGAGATGCATGAGAGAATAATAGAAGCAGCAAGAAACGAATTGGGTAACTGGGCGAGATGGAGGGCTAGGGGTCTGCAAATGAGAGCGAGAGTGAAAGAATGGGAGGGAAAGTACTTCTTTCAAAAGATTAAAGCAAGAGGAAGAAACAAGCTAATAGAGCAGTTGGAAGGTCCGCAAGGAGTGGTTTCAGATTCGGAAGGGATGTTTTCGGTGGCATACGACTTCTATAGTGCATTATACACTTCAAGGGAAGGTGACCATACTTCTCACCAGCTGAAGGAAGTCAGAAATAAGTTTCTATCATACTTGGATTGTACGGTGAAGAGGGAGCATGCAGAAAAAATGGACGCCCCTCTGTCCCAGGAGGAATTGAGGAAAGCCCTACAGTCTATGCCTCCAAACAAGACGCCGGGTAGGGATGGATTGACTAGAGAATTTTGGGTGGAGTATTGGCCTATCCTAGGAGGAGGGTACGAATCCTTTCTCAATCAAGCTTGGCAGAAAGAGGGCTTGGGGTTAGAGTTGGCAACAGGCATTGTTACTCTGCAATATAAGAAGGGAGACCCTAGGGATATCAAAAATTACAGACCAATTACACTGTTGACCCTTACAAGATTGTGGCTAAAGCACTAGCTAACCGCCTCAAGAAAGTTACAGAAGGTTGTTTCCACCTAGATCAAACAGGTTTCATTCCGGGAAGATTTATATTGGATAACGTCGTGACTTTATCAGAATCGGTAAGGTACATTACGAATAAGAGGATAAACGCAGCGATCCTCTTCTTCGACATCGAAAAAGCATATGATCAAGTCAACTGCAACTTTCTACAGCCATGTATGGAGAAGA